ATTCCATTGTTGATAATCTGAGAGATCTGGAAAGAAAGATTTACTCGCAGAATGGAGGGGAAAGCCAAGACTGCCTCCTCTATCATTTATAGAATTCACTTTTGGCTTAAGGAAATCAGCTGGAACACCCACTCTCATCCTCCAACATCAAGAGAAAACCTCATCCTACATGTTCTATACATTAACCCCTGTCCTTGTCATAGGTCGAGAATCCATTCTGTCACTTAGCACCCTCCTCCCTCAGGTTTCAAATGTAATGTAGATGGTGCTTGCACTAGAAATCTGGAGCCGTCAGGCGGGGGTGGAATCATTAGAGATGACAAGGGGTACTTTGTCTTTGCCTTTGCCAGTTGGTATGGAATCGGTACCAATATTATAGCTGAATGTTAAGCCATTTTAGACATGGCCATTTTCTGTAGAGCACTTGGACTTTTCTCAATTACTACTGAAAGCAACTCTAAGGTAATGATTGACATTCTCAATTCTAGGGCAAAAGCTCCATGGTCTATTCTCTATTGGGTGGTCTCCATAACTCATTTGTCTTCAGATATGGTGATTAATTTTGTTCACAATTTAAGAGATGGCAATGCAGTAGCTGAAGGTGACACACTATCGAAGCATGCAGTCCAAAGAGGCTCGTCCATGAATTTGATCACATTTCCTCACTTCCACGAGACTGTCATAAGTTTTATCTTGATGATCTTTTGTATATTCCAAAAATCAGATTACTGTTTTTTGGTCTTCGGATTTTTTTAAGTGGCAAGGGTGTGTTTCTTTTTTACATGGGTTTCGGGGCAAGGTAGGCTATGTCCTCCATTGTAGTTACTCAGATTATTATAGTTTGATTTATTAATAAAATTTCAAGGTGGCTACCCCTCCACTTGGAGTAAAGTTTGGGGTTAAAAAAAAGTGTCTTGCATTTCCCTTTCCTTTGGGTTTCTTTTCTTTCCCTTTCTGCTTGAAGTGCATGAGGCTTGAGGCATACACCTCAAAGGCATCAATGCCTCCCAAATACACCTCAGGGCATTTTGAGTGCTTCTCTCCTGGAGACGTGCCTCCAAGTGTACACCTCATATGCCTTTTAAAACATAGTATTAATTGGCACCTTCCAATAGAAAACCTTTACCCTGGGGAGAATGGGGCCACACCAAAGTTCTTTATCTGGGAAAGGGTTTTACAACAGTAAATTGGTGAAGGGTTTGAAAAAAGGAAGCAAACGAAAAAATGCCCACAAGCACCCAGTACCCATACATTTTACATATGTTTCTCATGGTTCATATAAAATATTTAAAATTCTCACTTTTAGGAGAAATAATAGGATGTTTGAGAAGAGAGAGCAAGAAAGTTAATAGGTTTATTGTCAATTTACCAAAACTAAAGGTCTATCAGTTAAAATCAGATTTTATTGTGTCAAAACTGATAAGCCCAATTAGTAATAGGTCAGCTATGGGTCGATTAGTTACAAACCCTGTAGTGTGGATCGGACCAAGCTTGTATGTTTTCTTATCAGTTTGGGACTGAGACTACTCTAAGTTAGCCCATACAAACCCATTGACAACCCTACTAGAAATGAAGTCATATTTGACATGTCTAATGATAGGGAATGAACAGAAGGAATAAATTTCCACAGACATTGCAAATCACCTTAGTGGCCAAACTAGGATCCTTGTCATTCCAATTTAGTCCATACTTGCTTTAATTGTTAGAATGCCATAGAGCTTGATTCTCAACAGGGAATCCCCAATGCCATTCCCCATGTCTTTATCCAGTCCCTCCAAACCCAATCCCTCACACCCTTTTTCTTAGACATATTAGTCCAAGTAATAAGATGGTCATTCTTAGAATCTCCAAGCTCCTAAAGAAAGTCTTTCTTGGTAATAAAATAAAATTTATTAAAGGAAAAAAGAAAGCCTTCATAATCCTTTCAATTTTGATAACTCATTTCATTAAGGTCTAAAAGATAGAAAATACAACAAGAGGCCAGGAAGGTTGATTAATAAGGATAATTTCATCTCTCAAAAGATACACTTTTCTTCTAAGAAAGCCAATTTTTTAGAGAACATTTTCACCAGTCACTGAAAGAGATGGCCCTAGGATTACCCCATGGAGGTAAACTAAGCATTTCAATGAACAGGAAATAAGGGCATATCCAAGAACATCTCTCTCTAACTCAATGATACCAATGGTTCCCACACGCTCTCTTTCCAGTTACGTTAGATGTCTCATAGGGAATGTTGTAAGGGCTGCACAGTTTATGGGTGTGTATGATTAGCATTCCTCATAAAGGAATGCCAGTGGCATGGTCATTTAGCTAGGGGTGCAACTTGGACCAGGTTAGTCTGAACTGTTCAGTTAGGGTTGAGGCTTTGGCAACCAAATTAACCCAACTGAACCCAACATATGTATGTAATATGTGTATCAACAATTTTAAATTTTGAAGACTAAAATTTTTTAGTCCAAGTGTGTATCATAAATATTTTACTCATTTGTCCTCATACATATATACTAATGCTCAAGCTAGTTAACCTTAATAGACTAATCCCAAGTCTAAGAAGTGAGAACATTTTTCTTTAAAAGCAAGATCAAGTGAAGACCTTAAAACAAGAAATGACAACCAACAAAACATGGATTTAGGCTTTGCATTTCATGCTTCATGCATGCCATGGATAACACCACTAGAATTGCTCAGAAAAGAAATACTAGAGATTTTGCTTCAGTTTTATCCTTAATTGCACATTAATTAAAACATATCCAGACATTGACTAGATGAAAAGTTGCATCAAGAAACATTCAAGAAGTGAAGAACTTTATTACTACATATTTCTCAAGTAACAATACATCAAGTAACTGACAAGCAAAACATTCACCTTATGCCCTTTCAGTTGCATAACTTTCAAAACCTCCTTAACTGAACCATCCTTTGAATATACAATCTCCCAAACCTAGCAAAATTAAGTTGACAGCAAAAAACAACTTTTAGTTGACAAAATTTAGTTCTTTATTTAAACAAGTATAACTGTCACAGCATTAACATGAAATCCTAAAACTGATTGCCAATTGGGTAGTAATCACATAGCATGCAATTAGGTAATCCTTCAACGAAGACAGAAAAACAATAAACAAAATGAAAAAAAAAAAAACAAATGTACCAAATGTTCCCATGACAATTCTTTTTCTGTTCTTTTGGGGAAAAGGTAAGGTGTGCATTAAATAAGAAAAAAAACAAAAAAAAAGAGAATGTACAAGGGATTGCTACTCCATGTAAAAGAGCCAAAAGGAAAAGCCAATGTGACCCAAGCCAAACCTGGCCCAAGCTAGGAAAGCCAAAAAAAAAAGAAAAGAAAAGAACAGAACAGACCAGCCCCCAACCTGATAAAGACAACCCCCTAAAGAGGACCGGTTCAGCCCTACCCGGGCCACACACAATTACAACAAAACTTACACTGAAACCTTTCTTTCCCTGCTCCTTATTTCCCTACCACAGGTGCTGCTAGCACCTTTCTTGGGTGCTTCATACACCATCTTTCCATAGAAATCCGCTAAATGCTTTGCTTTTCTGTATCTGGGAAGGCAACTCTTTTAAGACCATTCCGAGTCAGTGACTCAGTGCTAAGCTCAGATACAGGTTGATCTACCTCCCTTGAGCACTTCAACTTTGAAATGGCATGTGCTTCTTGATCCATCAATCCTTTAGATCTCAAAAGATCATGTGCAGAAGCTTCTCCTCCTAGGAACAAGATTCCCATACATGAGCCAAAGTCCACCAAAGCCTCCACTCATTGCTTCACGGGATTAAGGGAGCAATTAACCCCATTAGGGGCTTTATCACATACACACACTGAACCAGTGTTTAAAGGAGCTCAAGAGAATGTGCCAGGTCCCTCAATTTCCAAGGGCACTTCTTTCACCAGAAGAGGCTCACTGTCCAAAAGACTACCCTCCTTGAAAACACAGGTGATGTGTGCGCAGGCTACACATCATTTCTATCGTTTTTGTAGAGAAGATGGGCCGAATGGCCCATAGACTGTCATTTCATGTTATGTTATGTTTCTCTCTATTGTGGGCCTTATTCTGGGCCCATATTCTGTAATGTTCTGTTTTTGTATTTTCCTGCCCACTCAAGGGCCTCTCTGTAATTTGTCAAAGATTAACTTATTAATAAGATGTTTAGAGTGTTAGAGGGGGGTTATGTTTGAACCTCTTACTCTCTAACACTCATTGCCGCCAGCTCTCTCTTCTCTTCCTCTCTTGTTTGTTTATTTTCTGGTTTGCATCTAATCTCAAACAGTTCCATACATCAAGTGGGCTGCTTTTCAACTTGGTATCAGAGCGGGCCATTGCTTGGCGTGTCCCTCATGTGGTTCTAGTTCAGCCAACTACATGAAGAGGTTCTAGGGCTGAAAGTTTACAGTCATCCGCCTGGTTCTTGGAGGTCATTGAAGGGTGCCCAAGTTTCTATACACTTGGAGAAGGGTTCGGTGACCAGGAAGAATCAGAGAGCAAGTTGTTTGGCCTGATTTGAAATTAGAGAAAAAGAATTCCGAAGTTATCTCAAAGAACAAGTGTTCGGCCTGGTTTATAGTTCAAACCAGAGACT